ATCTGACGTGCTTATAAAAATTACTTAAGGAGGATAGAGGGTGGGAGATTTCTATAAGAGAATATTACCTTTCTTAAAAGGTAGTATCTGAGCACAGACCAAAAAGACAGGATGAAGTGAGCAATGACAACCCCCCGGGGAAGCATGACCCAGAAGAAACTACGAGAGGCTGAGGCAAGAAGTGCCAGACACTTCCAAGTAACAGTGAAAGGCCAGTGTGGCTGCAGCAGACTAGGTGAGACAAAGCTACCAGCCTTTTGGAGAATTCAGCTGCTATTTTGAAGACAAGAAACCGTTAGGATTTTGAGCAGAGTGGTGACAGGAAGAGACTTAGTTTGGGGAAGATCCTTCTAGCTGCTGCCCTACAGATAAGGTGGCAAAAACGGAAAGGCAAAAAACACTCCTACAGAAGTCTGGGGCAGAGATGCTAGTGGCATGGACCAGGGCAATAGCACGTACGTGTGATGAGCAGAGGTAAGTTAGGCATTGGATACACACGCCAAGTGTGGAGCTGAGCTGGAGACAGAGATTTGGAGAACATCAGGAAACGCCATGAGCCCGAAAGAGACCACCGAGGGGGTGAAGAGAGGAAGCGACAAATTTGAAGGATGGAACCCTGAGGAACTGAAGGCTCACAGGTCAGAAAGATAAAGGGAGCCAGAAAAGGACTTTGAAAAGGAAAGGCCAGTAGGGTAGCAGGAAAAATCAGGAGAGTGCGGTGTCCCAATGCCAACAGAAGAAAGCATGTCAAGAAGGAGGAAGTGATGACAGCGTGTCTGGCTGGCTCAGTTGGTGAAGCATCCAACTCTTGATATTGGCTCGGGTCATGATCTCACGGTTTGAGGGATCAAGCCCTGCATCAGGCTCTGTACTGACAGGTGGAACCTGCCTGGGAGTTTTCCCTCTCTCTCCCCCTCCTCCTCCTCTCTCTTTCAAAATAAATAAATAAACTTTAAAAAGGAGAAGAAGGAAAGGATGTTGCAGATGGCTCAAGTGAGAAAAGAATTGGGGGCAAAAGAGTCTGGCCAAAAAGGGGCCTCCAAGGATGCCGCAGTGCTTGGAGAAGTAGTGGAGATGATGTTCTCTGTTGTCCATGAGGAGCAGACAGATGCTTAGTACGCAAGAGTTAAGGAGGTTTTCTTCTTTCTTTTTTATGCAATGTGGAGACAGTAGAGCATCTTTGAATGCTGCTGGGAATTGTCTAATAGGGAGAGGAAACCAGGGGATGCAGAAGTGAGAGGGGTAAGGCCCAGGGCCCCCCTGAAAGCCCTGGGTAAGAGAGCAGCATTAGTCCTGTGGGAAAAGCACAGGGCCTATTTGCACACAGGCTGGGGGGAGCCTGTGGGGGTTTCCTCCTGACTGAGCTTTTCTGCTTAAAACAGGAAGCAGGGGCGCCTGGGTGGCTTAGTCCATTAAGCGTCCGACTTTCGCTTAGGTCATGATCTCATAGTTCATGGGTTCGAGCCCCGCGTCGGGCTCTGTGCTGACTGCCAGCTCAGAGCCTGGAGCCTGTTTCAGTCTATGACTCCCTCTCTCTCTGACCCTCCTCTGCTCACACTGTCTCTCTATCTCTCTCCTAGAAATAAATAAAACATTAAAAAAAAAAAAAAAAACAGGAAGTGCAGTTACTCATTCAGTAGAGAACCGGGGAGGCGCCCCTGGAGGCCCAAGGAAAGAAGAGTGTGAAATAGTCATCCAGGGCAAGGGGATAGAGTAGGGGCAGGTAGCAACTTGTCTTTGATGTGAACCCATAAATCCCATTAGTATTAATTTAGGGAGGAGAAAAAAACTAAGATACTCGTGTGAAGAATATATGGAAGATCTGGCAATCGGAAGCTAGAGGGAGGAGATTCCCAATCACCAAAGGGTGCACTTGGTGGTGTTCTCCCGGTTCTGATCCAGGCGAGAGGGATGTGTGGAGCTGCCCCTGTTTCTGAAAGTGCCCTCAAGAGAATGTGGGGATTCCCACTTTCCCCAAGGCTTGTGCGCAATTCAACCAAGGCAGCATTCAAATATATGGAAATGATCTCTATTTTAGGTTCTTTCTCATTTAGCCTTTTAGGTTCTGAGAACTAGCAAAATAAATCTCAAACTCTGCTTTTAAAAGCTTTCTTGTAAATCATCCCTGGTTTGTAAAAGCCAAGGTCCTAAATATAACCAGAGAGGGGAACGAAAAGAAAAAAAAAAAAAAGACTAATGACCCCTGACATTAGAATTCAAAATGCCCTGCATGCAAATCCACTTTCCCCTCACTCTTTTGTAATGCAATAAACAGTGAGAATTAGAATTGCAAAAATACCAAAGGAGCTACGTGAAAATGATACAACAAAGTAGTTTCACAGTGATATTGAGAAAGGAATATGAAATGAATAAAAGATAACACGGAGAGACAGAATCTGGTGTTAGGTATGTATAAGCGAGTGTGTATATGTGCACATGCATGTCTGAGTGAGAGTAAGTGGAAAAGATTATTTATTTCTTTGCTTTATTCTCTCTGAACAAATTTTAAAGAATAGATGCTGCTTTGGTCACCTTTCAACAATGTGACACATGGTTCCTATTTTAGTTCCAAATGATTTTTCATTAAACAGTTTTTGAAATATTTACTTGTTAATATAAAAGATCGTTTGAATGTTTAAAAAAAAAAATAACAAAACCAAGCAATTTTCACGATAGACTTTCCAAAACTCCCTGATGCTATTTTCTTCCAATTGTTATGTATCACATTCCTAGGCACCACACAACCCTGATGCTACAGATGTTTCTCTCTGGGCTTCAGTTAAAAACTTGAAATGAGGGGCGCCTGGGTGGCTTAGTCGGTTGAGCGTCCGACTTTCGCTTAGGTCACGATCTCGCGCTTCGTGGGTTCCAGCCCCGCGTCGGGCTCTGTGCTGACTGCCAGCTCAGAGCCTGGAGCCTGTTTCGGTCTGTGACTCCCTCTCTCTCTCACCCTCCCCTGCTCACGCTGTCTCTCTCTCTCCTAGAAATAAATAAAACATAAAAAAAAACAAAAACAAACAAACAAAAAAAAAAACTTGAAATGAGACAATGAAAGGGAGGAAGACAGATGCCCTGAAGCCAGAACACATTAAGTACTGCAATCAAGTTTTGAGAACTCATTTGCCCATATGGATATATCGGCTGCACAGAAATGGACTAGCGCTTGCTCCCACCCCATGTCCTTCTTTTCCTTTATGTGCCACTCCCAACCGCAGGATGAAAGAGAAGCTTCTCTAACTGGTCTACAAAGAAACAGAAAAGCACATGTCTAAACATTTCTCCTCACTTGTTTCCTGGCTTCCATCAAATGTAAGTAATTTCATATAGTACCTGGGCTCACACACCCAAAGAGAACTCTGTGATTAATGCAAAGGGCAGTCCAACCACGGCAGACACCTCCAGGTGGGCAGGCTGGGCAATCTGCTATGACAGGCAAGTCAGTCATGTGGCACTGAAACTTCTGGTGTGGATGACACCATCTACCTACTCAGTATCCACTCTCCCCCTCTTTGTTACCAACAGAACCCTGATTTTTTAATGAACTAAATACTCAGCTTGAGAATTCCTTGCATCTAGGGGTGATCAAAGGGAACAATGAGATGGATAAAAAGGTGCTTGGTGGGGCTTCCAGAAAAGTCTGTTGAAAAGGGAAGGCTCAGATACCATCAACAGGCTGTGAGCTTTAGTTTTTGAGCACCTGTCTCTCCTCTTTGTCCTGCCTGTGATAGCCAGAGATGGAGCGAGCCACCAGGTTTTAGCCATGAGGACGTAAGTCTCCTGACAAGGCAGGACCAGGCAGAAAGATGGAATGATCTGGGTCTTGATGGTCCTCTGAATTTGTCAAAGCACCCCAGGAAACACAAACTCTTTTATGGTCACACCATTTGTGATGTTTAAATTTACGTGACAGTATGAATTGGTCACAGTACCTAGATATTTGGCCAAACTTGTCTGGATGTTGCTGTGAAGGTATTTTTTTTTAGGTGAGATTCACCTTTAAATCAGTTGACATTGAATAAAGCACATTACCTACCCTCCACAGTATGAGTGGGCCTCATCCAATCAGCCTTAATAAAAAAAGTGACTTCCTCTGAAGAAGAGAGGATTCTGCCAGCAAGCCACCTTTATACATGAGCAGCAAAATCAACTCTTCTCTGGGTGTCCAGCCTGCCAGCCTTCCCTGCAGACTTTGGACTTACTAGTCTCCACAATCACATTAGTGACTTCCTTAAATCAGTCAATCAATCTCTCTCTCTCTCATATATATATACATGAGATACATACAGTTGACCATTAATGACAGGGCACTGAACTGCCACACAAGAAAGAATATGGGTATAACTTCTGATCCCCACAAAACTTCTTTACGAATAGCCTGCTATGGACCAGAAGCCTTACCGATAGCATAAACAGTTGATTAACAGCTATCCTGTGTATTTATTATATACTGTATTCTTACAATAAAGTGAGAGAAGAGAAAATGCTATTAAGAAAATCATAAGGAAGAGGGGAGACCAAGTGACTTAGTCAGTTGAGCATCCGACTTTGGCTCAGGTCATGATCTCAGGGTCCATGAGTTCAATGCCCTCATTGGGCTCTCTGCTGTCAGGGAAGAGCCTGCTTCTGTCCCCCTCTTTCTCTGTCCCTTCCCCACTCTCTGTCTCAAAAATAAATAAACTTTTTTTAAAAATCGTAAGGAAGGGAAAATAGAGTCCTGTCATGTATTTATCGATACCGTAAGTTTACATCATCATGTTTACAAGATAAATCACATGTCTGTCAGCACCTACACCAATCTAGTCTTACGTGACACAAAATATGCTACATGTTACACGATTACACACACTAGGCACCAAAAATGGAAAGCTAATATAAAGTCTGCATGAGCATAACTTCTGATAACTTTTAATTTTTTATAATAATTTACATATATCTTATGGTAATAAATGACAAAATAGACTAGTATCCACTTATATTTTATGCTGTCATAACATACTCACCTTTTTCTTATTTTTTAAATATCTCTAGGCTACATCGTTTGTGATTTCTTTTGAATTGCCATAAATCTCAGAAAAATTTCCAACATGTTCCTTGAAAAAAATTGCATACATATATGAGAGACAGAGACAGAGACAGAGAGAGATTTCCTCTTACTGGTCTGTTTCTCTGGAGGACCTGCCCATCACACGACTGTAACGGGGTGTCCACTCACCGCAGCTGAAAGCAATCCTCTCTGGCACCTGAGACCCCCCACGTCCCGAGCTGGGTAACTGTGCACGTGCCCCTGTGACTCCCAGCCTCCAGATTTGCAGAGTGGGAAAAGGAGTGATCTGGACTCCCTGGGCGGGCTGGAAGCACTGCATGAGACAGCGTGTGTGTAGGCGTGCTGTGCGTTATGCGGCCCACTGGAAATGTCAGGAAGCACCGTCATCACAGGCTCGTTGTGACAATTCACAACCATAATTCTCCATTCATGGCTGCATTCATTTAAAAGAGCAATTACCTTTAAATCTGACCATCATAAAGTCATTATGTTATATGTCACTTATATCTCAATAAAGCTGGGGCGGAGGCAGAGGCGTTATAGAACATTTGCAAGTTCATTAAAGCACAAGGAAGACAATGTTCAACCATCCTCACCCCATCGCTACTGTCACCTACTAGTACCTAGCATTTATTGAGTTCCAACTGTGTACCAGGCAGCACATGAATCACCATAATGCAAAATCTCTACCTTATGGGGCAGAGATAGGTGGGTACTATTTTGGCACCCATTTTGTAGAGACAAAACTAAGAATGAGAGCAGTAAATAACTTGTCCCAGAAGATGCAGCTAGTAAGTGGCAAAACCAGGATTCAAACCCCGAATTCCAAGTCTGAATAATGCCAAAGCCCACACACTTAACCATGGTGTGTGGTTGTGTTGTGTGCTTTAATAACGTCTTTGCTAATGTAACAGCACTACAGCCCATTGTCGGGGTGACCTTGCTTCAAGTTTCTGCGCTCCTTGCTTGCTGACCTAAGTCCCTCGATCTATAGCAGAAAAACCTGACTTCCCTTGAGATCTGTAGACCACTGCCCTTGAGAAGTGAAGAACCAAACCTCTCCAGAAGATTAGTCCTGACTACATTGGAGAACAGCTGCAACTGATGCCAGTTATACAGGTTCATGTCAACATAAGACTGTCTGCCCGGGCCTCTCGTGTATGTAGCCCCTCCTTATCTTTTAAACATCCCCGCCCCTCACCCCTCCGTTTACTCCCAGACAGAGAAGACAGTCTTTGAGATGTTTGTCTACCATCTTCCCAGGTTGCTGGCTTCCTGAATAAAGCAACCTACTGGTGAGCAGCTGAACCAGAGTTAGAATAGGCTCTCTGTTCAGGAACACTAATACAGAAATGGGATGTGACTGGGTAACCCTCAGGGGAATGAAAACAGTATATGCAGGTTGCTCAGCATATAAACAAACGTAGATTATTGTATTACGGGGCTGCTAGCTCTCTTGCCCAGGGTGGCGTTTTAATTTGAAATGAAGAAGACTCTTCCATATTAACTAACCCCACTACACTCACCTTTACTTCAGATAAAGATATCCTGTCTGTCAGGCTCCCTGAAGTTTATCTGGAAGGCCAGGTTTATCCATTTCAAACTGCCCATACATCCACAATCTCACTTCATTTTCCCTGCGTCAAGAAGGGCATGTGCTATTACCTCCATTTTCCAGGTGAAAGAACTGACCCCTGGAGAGGTTAAGTAACTTGTTCAAGGTCACACAGCAAATTAGTGGTACAAGCAGGATTGGAAAGCCTATCTCTCCGATGTCCAACCTGGGACACTTTCCATTGTTCTGTGTTCCCTCTACCTGTCACTTCCTCCACTCCTGAGGGGCTTAGAAGTTGATGGGGCATGCTATCTATTCCTCAGGGTAAAACCACCCTATCTGGGTAGGACACACACACACACACACACACACACACACACACACATACACACACACACACGGGATGCACTGTAATTGTATCTGGCAAAATGGTTTTATAACAGTCCAGTTGAGGATGCAGAAAAGTCCAGGCTGCCTTTCAGAAAGAGAGCCCAGAGGGTCAATTTCATCATGAAACAGGATTTCTTCACTCATGGGTGGATGGGTGGGTGGGTGGACGGACGGACTGCATTAACAGCGGCTCAGGGGACTGTGGGATAAAAGCTCATTTAGCTTTCATTGCACTTAGGCAGTGACAACGCAAACTGCAACTGGGAAACAGGCTTGCCCAAGAAAGAACATGGAGAAAGCTGCATCTTAACCCTTCTGTGACTTTCTCCCCATTTCTAAATCATATGGTATTAAACAGTTCTTGCGTATAACAAGTTACTCTTTTGACTCATTAAAGATGATATTTACAAAAAATAAGGAGCAAGGATGTAATGATTAAGGGAAAAAACAATCCCAGGATGAGATTATGGTCATATTCAGTCTTAACCTGAAACCAAAGAAAGTACAAATGGAGGTAACACACCACACCGTCTATGTAGGACCAAAGCCAGGAATATCAGGTGGAAATATTTGCCTTTCATAAACAAGGCAACCAGTCAAGCACCTGCTTCAGTGGCACTGGCCTCAACAAAGCAGAAGCTTACTTCTCTCCTCAGGGCAGTTGGATGAGTACACATAATAAGGCAAAAAAGAGGAACTGCAGAATTTGAAGCTCAAAGACGAAAGACTGGTATTGGGGATAGAAATTCCTAGGAAACTGAAACAAGGTTTCTAAACATGCTGTCAAATGACCTCTCATCAAGTGAGAAGCAGCACTGAAAGCCCGACCGCCTACAATGTTCCCTTTAAAGTCATCAGAAAACTCAAGGGTCTTTTTCTCTGTTACATTAGCAAGAGGAAGTTTGGGAAGTTTAGACTGGGGAGACTGGTCACCCTGTTGAAAACACACTTGCCACAAACTCACAGATGTTCAAATTGTGGACCAAGTTTCCTTTCAAACAACAACAGAAAGTGATTTGAGGCCCACCAGTGTGGGCTGGGGAGTGAGCATAGTGAGAAAAGGTGAGAGAAAAGTCAAGGAAAAAAAAGCCCATCGGAGGTGCTTTCACTAAAAATGCTGGGATCTGTGTCATCCAGTCATGGTACCATGTCCCAAGGAGAAACACAATCCAGGATCCAGAGACTTTTCACATTTCTACCTAGACACACAACAAAATGTAAACGGGAAGAGCCCATTCTTGATGCACAGAAAACATAAAAATTATTCTCTTCACATTGCTGCCTTTCTCAAAATTCCTCACAAGAGTGACCACAAGCCCATGAACACTCTCCCTCCTGGCCCTTACCCCAGATGCTCCACCCAACCTGGGCAGGCTGAGCTGCTGGCTCACTTTCTCTCTCAACTCTTTACTATGTAGTTCAACACAGCCTCTCAATCTTCTTAGTTTTCTTCCACTTCCATTCTTTTTGAGAGGACCTGGGAGTTTATCAAGGGAGCTCAAATTCTTTGTGTGTAGAAGCTAGGGATCATGAATATCCATGCGTTAATACTTCACCGTCAACACATTATGACATCGTGTCCCTTTGAATTCCATTGTCTTAAACAAACTCAAAAGCTCACACTTTAACAGAGGAGGCTTTTCAAAGGGTAGACCAAGAATTTGACTCTAAGAGGTCCAAGAAACTCAAATCTGACTCCAGAGATCATGGTCTTTCTGTAACATCAAAGATAACAAGAGGAACTAGGGTTGAAAAGAGATCTTTTTTCCCCACCTCATTTTGATCAAGCCAGTAAATGTGACTACATGCCAGGCACTGGGCTAGGTGGTAGGAGTCCTGGTCCTTAAAGAGATCATGATCGGATGCAATGCTTCTCAAACTGTACTCCTCAGAGCACAAGTATCCTTGTGAAAAGGGTTCCATGGCCTAAATACTCTAGGAAATGTGGCTTAGTCGATATCCTTCAGGATATTTTTCAAATCTATCCTAATTCCAAATTAAAGAAACTTTGTTTCTTTACTCCAAGATTTCTGAAATTCAATTCAGGATGGACCCATTTGTCTTGCAAAACACACACCTAGAGATGAGCCCACAAATGTTAATGTAGAGAGAGTCTACCTTTAGCTGAAACAAACAGATGAATAATTGGCACCTTGAAGATGAAATAAGGACAGTGAAAGCATTTTCATACAAAGCACATCGTATTTCAACCCAAAAGGCTAGTGAATTTAAATGTTGTCCAAACAGAGTATCTCTGTCTGCTTGCTGCAATGAGAAAGTGAGCCATGAATAAAAATGGATTGTACAGGGTATCCATTTGCTTGTGTAGGCAGTGGGAGAGGTAACCAGCCTTCCGGAGAAATTGTAGTAAGATCAAATCCTTGGTATCCATAGGAGTTACTGTGAGGAAAACTCTCTGGCACCCAGTGAGTGGATGGTGACAATTCCCTCATCAGTTCATGCTATAGCTTCAGCTGCAGTGTCAAGGGCTATTTTCTCACCAGGCCAGTTCAGTGTATGATGTGGGAATTATTCCCGGAAGCTTCGCCTCAAGTCTGTTTCTCTGGGACTCCAAATGATTCTTTGAAATGTCTCATGTCCCTAAATAAATTCCTTTTCTATTTAAACTAGCCAGAGCAGATTCTGATGTTTGGAACTAATACTCCCAGCCATATTTTCTTCCCTCACTTCCAGCATCCGGGCAAATAACAGTTTTAGCCATTCACAATCTAGCATTTCCCCTCGGGAAACTCTAATCTAGTAATACTTTTCTGTGGACTCTCCACTGCCCTCCTTTACCTTCCAGCTCTACATAGTCAATGAAACTGACCCCTAGTTCTAGAATCCCACCTGTATTCCTTGGCAACTCAATCTTCTTTCTTAGCCTAAGGCCAGTCTACTTATTGGATGAAATATACTTTTCTGTCGGTCAACATGGCAACATCTTTGGCTAAGTCAAAGCTTAGCTCTTCATTTATCTTTTGAGTAGTAAATATGTCCCTGGATAGCCCAGTGCTTTGAACCCAATATTTATCTCTCAACCTATCCCATGCTTCAACAATCATTTTTGCTTTTTTGGGTTATGCTTTGCATAGCTCTTTCAAAGTGTTAAGAAATCTGTCAGAGTAACTTCAAATCAGGAGCTGGGTAGTCTGCGTATTAAAGCAAGCAAGAACGCCAGGAACTGTCCCCATTTCCCAGCTTGGTGACTAGGAACTCGGGCAAATTAAAGGGGCATCCATAGCACCCCCTCAAAAGAAGGCACTCAACGCCTTCACAGGCTTCCATTCAAGAGCAGAGAGTCAAGGCCAGTGGGAAAGGTTACTTAAAAAGTGCTCCAGGAAAATGTTTAAGTAGTCATCTTAGGGAAGCAAAAAAGCACATTTCTTGATGTAGTGGTTTTAAAAAAGATTTAGATCCAGCATGTGAATTCCCATAGAATCCTACTTAGTCGCCTTATCTATGTCAAAGCAAACTTAGTTTCACATCAATGGTGCTTCTCATTTATCTTAATGCTAAGGATTTATTTCTTATGCAAAATTGTTTATTTTTACCAGCTTGGAACTTAAAAAAAATCACATTCTCTTCTTGAAGAATTTTCATTAAGCCAAGGTGTCATCAAGCTGAAAATCTGCAGACACAATTTTGGCTTACTTTCTCAGGAAACTCAGAGGAGTGCCCGATCCAGGCAACAGAGGATTATCGTAGGCACTGCTGACAGATTCTTAACAGCGTTGGGAAAAGAAAAAACATAAGTGGTATATAATGATTTACAAAGATTTCTGCTCTAACCTAAAGTTGAACCAATAAGTTAGTCTAGACTGGCCCATAACTGTCTGTGGCCCGGAAGCTGCATTCTTCAGGGGGAAAAAAAATGTTGTAGTTGAAACTCAGAACAGTTTTGTCCCCATGATGTGTACAACAGACCTGGGTTAATATAATCTGGTACCTGGGATTATGCAGGTTATGACCGAGATAAAAATTAAACATGCAAATGATGGATTACATGGAATGTTTGCAATTCATGTATTTATTCATTTAGGTACCATAGAGTCATAATCACAATGTGAGTAGGTAAAAATCATTAACCAGAACAAAATTATCATATTACCCATGCAGTGTTATAGAAAAATAATGAGAGGATTTCAAGGAAAAAGAGTCAGACTTCAATCAAACATTTCAGGCAGAAAGAGAGACATTAACAGTTACGATGTGCACAGCAATAGTCAAGGAAACGTGGAAACAGTTGAAACCAACAATTAACCCAAGGTCAAAACCCTGAATATCAATATTTATTAGTGTACTTTCTAGCTCTGTGTCCAATTAAGCTCAAAAATCTCCTTAGACTTAATCCCCCTGATCATATGGGTGTCTAATACCTGTCAATGCAATTTTCTTGTTCGCTAAGGAAACACTCTTTATTCATTTCATTAGTCTTTATCATCACTATATTAAATTATCCTTCCTAGTGTTTTCCCCTGGCTACCATTTGGGTGCCATGACAGCGCTTGTTTTCCCAGAGTCTCGGCCCTTGGATGTCAGTGGTGATTCGGTTCCTCTTTTTTCTCACAAATTAAACCATCCCAGCGCCTTGCAAATGACCAGGCAACTGCTTTACTACTCTAACTTGTAACTTGAGCTTCCTACCAAGCTCTTTAATTAAGCCACAATATCATTGCTTCTCTGGTTTACAAGATAATCATCTAATTCCCTTTTGTTAAACTATTGGGCCTTTGGCCTTACGGTTTATTCACTTGGGAACTAGATTACAGCTTCCCAGACTAAAGCTACAGTGGCATTATTGTGACTTGTTACAAGTTTAATTAATGCCAAACAATGGCAGCCTAATTTCTGGCTTAATACCATCTCCTTTCATAGAGCTGCACCCTCGTTTTGCCTTGAATAACCCTCTTGATTAGTATTTTCTCCAAGTAGTCTCAACTCGCTCCTCCTGTTGAATCACAACATTCCTACTGGAATGTGGAAGCTCAATTTTAAGACATTAAAATTTGGGGTCTGGTTTTGCAGTTATGTATTTGGTGGACCAGCTGAAGGAAGATAAGAAAATGTTAAAATTATCTTCATTGAGGACATCATAATTGCTAGAACAAAGCCCAATTTATGAAACTTTTTCACATAACTTGTCAGACAGCTGGGCAGAGTATATATTACTCTGTCCTTTTTATTGATTGCTGGTTCAACCGTGTCAATGCCTACCAAGCCCATGACTTTGTTCCAACCAACAAAGCTCCTTTTAGGTCCTCTTATTTTTTTTTTAACAGCATAAATAAGACCATTAGTTGAACAAAGGGGATGTTGGCTTTTAAATAAGGAAAGTTTGAAAGCCTCTGTTATCGAAAAAGGAGTTAAAAGCTCCACACAGAAGTGAGTTTAGCAGAGTTTACCAAAGTCAAACAGCGAATAATTGAAAAAACAGGGACAACACTGGGGTTTCCCGCCTCCGAGGTCCAACATTTATTTCTGATACACTTACAGTCTCTGGTAGGGAGAATGCCAAAAAGAAAAAAAAAAAAAAAAACTCATGTGTGAACTCCTTCTCATGAGTTCAGCTTTTGTTTTTTTAAATAGGCTTCTTGTTGATTGCAAGACTTCGGCTCTAGACAAGTTAGATATTTCTTACTGATTCATTAAGTCATTCCTTTACCAATAAGTTTACCCTGTGCCAACCACTGTACTACCTTAGGAAGTCAAAAACACACAAAAGAACTGAATACTGTCCCTGCACCAGTCAAGCATACCAGTGGGACATCCATGAAGGAATTAAAGACCCAGAGAAAATCACTGACAATGTAGGACAAATGACATTATTAAGCCTTAAGGAAAGAAAAACTGGTGAGATTACTACTAAGAGAGGAGAAAGAGAAACAGAGAGAAAGAAAGGATGAATTAGAGAAAACAGGGTCAATCATTTTGAAGTTCTTTACCACTTCTCACCTTACAAACAAGGCAAACTGGTAGCCACTTGACCTCTGTAGGGCTCAATCTTCTCATGTGCAAAGTTCATATAATATTACTTGTTCCCTCTACTCTGCAAAGTCCACTGTGAAAATATCACAAGATAAAATATTTTGAGGGCTTTTTAAAAAGGAAAAGGTCACCTACAAGTAAAGTAAAAGGAAAGGGTACTGCTTGGCTGAATGATGAAAGATGTAAGGTAGGACAGTATAGGGAGAAAACCACTTCTTATTACTTTGTCCAAAAATTGTTTTATAATATTTTAAAGTCATCGTCATTTTTAAAAACTGAGAATACTCACTATAAACCTAGTTGCAAAAAAAGAGTCTCAAAGTTGAAAACTTGGTCAAAGGAAAACCTTAGGATTCTATGCAGAAGGGCTCCATCACTGGTTCCAACCCTCACACCCCAGGAAATTTAAGTTTAATCACTCAAAATGTATTGATGGAGAACTTTTTTATGGCATGTTTTATTCTAAGTTGTGGGGAGAGGATGGTGAGCAAGACAGTCTTGGTCCCTGCCCTCATGGGATGTAATTCTACCAGT